TGCATCTGGCTCATCACTGACCGTGACTAGCTCATTCATATCCCCAAGTTATGTTTTTTGCTCATTTTCACCATCTGTGGCTCTTTTTTGTGAAACCCTTATCAGTATTAAAACACATACTTAATAGTAACCCATGTAGTTTTCTCATTTTTTTCAAGGTCTGCTATGTTTCTTTTTTATGGAAAATCATATCTCTACTTCTGACTATCTTTTTCTTCACTGGATCCCCTACCCTGTAGCCAAATTCCTCATCACCATATCCCACAAACATACACTATACAGTTTTATTGTCAAGCTTTGACTTCTATTTTTTTAGCACATGCATGAATGCTTTACACCCGAAAACTTTCAAATGAGAGTATGAAACATCTTTTTCTATCCACGCTCTTTCTGAAATGTCAAAGCCCAAAGGAATTGACGGTGATATGTTAAGCAAATAACAAGTTATGTTGATTGTTTCACCTTATAATGGCTTTGGTAATTTTGCCATCCTCAACATATATTTGACTTTTTTCACAATAGTGTGGTTCATCCTTTCAGCTATAATATTACGCTACGGTGTTTTAGGTTCTATCATTTCATGCCTGATCCCATGCTTTGAATAATACTATTCAAATTCTTTGGATGTGTATTCCCCACCATTATTAGTTCAAACACACTTCAAGGATAACTTTGTCATCCTTTTCACCATGGCATAAAATTTCTGAAAATATTATAATACCTGACTTTTATTTTTCAATATATACACCTAAGTCTTACATGACCTTAATGGGACCACATACGTTAGAATAAATTAATTCCAATCTATTTTTTTTTTAGAACTCTTACAAAAAGAAACCCTAGGATGTTTACCAAATAAACAATAATCACATGAATCGAGAGATATACCTTTGGTTAAGGGAATGAGAGACTGCCTTGCCAAAACCTATAACCCTTTTTCACTCATGTGTGCCAGCCTCTTGCGCCACAAATTTGCTGAAGCATCATCCTCAATAGCATTTACCTAATTACCATTCAATTGCAACTATGTCTTATACATTGTGCAGCATAGTTTTTCCCTTGTAACTACCATAGATCCTTTGAGAAGCTTTCATCATCCATTTTTTTGTCGACTTTCATATCCTTCCTTATCAAAGACATTAATAGAAGCAAGTTTATTCTCATATCTGAAATGTGTCTGACATCCCTCAAAGTCAACATGCAGTCTGTACTAGTTTGTACAACAATATCATTAATCCTAATAATCTACGACACACTCTTGTTTCCCATCTTGGTACAACCAAAGTCTCCTGCTTTGTAAGTTGTAAACAACTCTCTCTTAGAAACACAATGATATGCCATTCTTGTGTTAACTATCCACTCAATACTGAGATCACTAATATGATTACAATCACCATGTATACAAATCAAAGTAACTGAATCACTATCTGAATTTACTACTGTAACATTGCCATCATCTGAACTCTTATCTTTCTTATTTTTTTGCTTTTGCTTCAAGATTTTATAGTGTCAGTTTATATGACCTGTCTTACCACAATAGAAACACTTCACTTTATCTCTAGACTTGGATCTATGTTTACACTTACTATGACCTTTTGAGTTTTGACCTCTGTTGATGTTTCTACCTCTATTCTTGTGACTAGAGCTTGATTCCCAAAGTCTACATCTTTTCGCCTTACTTCTTCATTAAACATATTTTCATTTACCATCTTTAATGTCACATTGTAATCAGGAGCTGAATCAAAACAGTCACAACTAGAGTATTCTAACTGTCTGGCAATGAACCCAAAAGAAACAATGCCTTTATTTTATCATCCATCTTAAGCTCTATAGTAGTCATCCGATTAAATATATCTTGAAAATCACTCAAGTGCTCTATCACAGATCGTCTATCCCTATACTGTAAAGTTACAAGTTTTTTAACAAGCAAAACTTTATTCATACCTGTTTTTCTCTCATACAATGCTACCAATTTTTCTTAAACAATGTGAGCATCTGACTTCTGTATTACATGATGGAACATGCTGATATCAATCCATTTTTTTATTGTAACCAACATCTTTCTGCCTAGCTTCTTCCAGCTTTCATCTTTCATATCTGCTGGTTTAGCTGAGTCATCAAATACTGACTCATACAAATCTTTACAGTATAGATGATCCTCCACAATAAGCTTCTAAATTGAATAATTCGATGCTGTTAATTTTATCATGAAACTTGTATTACCCTCCATGATCTCAAACATAATTTACTTCTATCTTAGGTTGCTTTTGTATCGATGTCTCAAAATAACTCTCGCTCTGATACCACTTGTTACGCTTGAAGCAATAATCACAATAATACATAAGCAATATATCGCAATAAACCCACAGCAATAGACAACAATCAATAATAAAAAATATAGAAAAATAAAGCACACCAAGATTTACATGAAAAACCCTCTAGTGTAAAGGAAAAAATCACAGACCACCAGAAAAATCTCCACTATCAAATAATGGATATACAAAGTTCTTCTTTAGCTAAAACTAAAGCTAATAAAAAACTAGAGAGACAATTAGAGAAATCTCACCAAATAGGTGATCAACAAATACAACCTGAATTTGTTCCTAGAGAGCTTCAAACCCGATATTTACTGTTAAAATTTAAAACTTTGAATCATAAATATGCTGACAAAGTTTTAGCTCAATCGAACCACGGATCGACTTCCATTCAACCAACTCTCTCTTCTCTTTTTTCTCTTTGCTTTTCATAGCTTTTCTTCTTTCTCTTCTTGGTTTTGCAACACCACCTTAAAACAACCCCACCTCTTTTTATTAAGTAGCTAGGGTTCTGTGTAAAAAGAAAGACCAAGCCCATGGCCTTTACTTGGTCCAAAACCAATTACATGGGGCTAGACTCCATTTTCTTAACAATTTCTGCAGCATGTAACTCTCTATGATCTATCACCTTGATACCAACTTTTACTCCTCTGCATCTGGTCTTATTATTATTGATCTAATTATAGTCTTGGAGGAGATGTAAAGAATAAGCTGCATGTTTTCGTTCTTTTTGCTAGTTAAGGAGTATAGTTTTGGCACTGCAGCTTTGAGTGAGAGCAATCTGGTAAACAAGAGAGAGCATTTGAATTCCGAATGTCAAGTTAGGCTATGGATCATACCTAGTAAGTTAATGGTGGTTTCCTGATGGTGTTAAAGATGCATGCAAGAGCTGGAGTTTCCATATAGAATGCATCAAATTTGATACAGCTTAATAAAGGGCTATAGTTTGGAGCAAGAAAAGGAAGCGGGAGAGATTGTTCAGCTGAGGAATGTCTTTGGTTTGCATCCTATTTCAAAGGGACAGAAGATTTTGTAGAAATAAACCTATTGAGAGAATGTGAGTGAATACATTTTCTAGTTTGTTAATTTCAATACTCAATTGCAATTTCGTTGCTAAAATTAAAAGGAAAAGAGAAAAGAGAAAAGAAAAACATTCCATGCATTTGTCAGGCCCAAGTTCTGAGGTGGATTCAATTGCAAGTAAAAGCAATCTTTTTTGCTCTAAAAGAAAGCCTTGCTACCATCTTGCCTTATATGTTGTAACTTAATTAAACTATCATTTTGCATGAAAAATGTTATGAGACTGTTGTAGAAGATCGCATATGTTTCATGCATGTTTGTACAGAACTAAAGGTATAATAATTTGGTTGTGGATCCCTCTTTCATTTTCTTTGTAAAATGTCACTATAGATGAAATGCCCATGTGGAACAAATACGCAAGGATCATTATTCTAGACAAGGCTAGGACATTAAGTTCCTCATTCTGGCAAGAGCTATTTGGTTTCCATCATCTAACAAGTATAGAAGTCCATCAATTACTTGTTAACGGCCTTGGAAACAACCAATTAGCTCTCACAAGATCACTTCCTTTGTTGTTTATATATTAACTGTTCTAGTCATACAAGATAGTGTAAGCCATTGTTTTGTTGACAAGTTTTTCTGCCTGCATGCCAAGCAATGTCAAAGGAAATTGTGAAAGTAGAACTAGAGATCTGGTCTTTTTGAAGGTTCATCATTTACAATGTTAACTCGTAGTTTCATTGAGTTACTGCATCCCGGGTACAGACTACAGACAATCTTCCAAGGACTTTGCTAATGTATTTTTCTAACACGGCTTATTCCTTCACCAATTATTTCCCTACTGTCCTTTGTAACTCCAATCAGTTCAAGATCACTGTGATAAACAATAACCTACAGTATATAGCCTTTAACAATTCCTCTTTGAAGAAGCCTCCCCCACTTAATTGTACAGAATTTGATGCTATGATTCAGAGTGGAACTTCCGACACTGTTCCAGTTTGATGATCCAGTAGTTGACCATATCGACCAAGAAATTTTGGAACGCGACCCTGAAAAAGTTGTACCTGGTGAATGGTGCATAGGTGAGCCTGGCAATGGCACATGTTCAGTTTGGGGGGGTGCCAACATCTTAAGGCCCGGTGCAGGAGCAATAAGGCTTGAAAAAAGTGTTCTCAAATTACTTTCAGATGATGGGTTTCAATCCCAGCAATGTCGAGATGAGTGATCTGAATCAATTACCATGTAGATATATGAAATTGGAGAAGAAAGAGGCAACCGATGATGAGTTCTCTTTCCCATAGTTAAACACTTCCAGGAGAGTTAACCACGGCCTTCATATTCTTTTTAGGAGCACCAACTTTTAGTCAGGCACCTACTTGTGCTATGATTGTTGTAAAGTAAATTACTATTCATTTGTTATTGTACTCGACATTTGTTTATTTGGAGAAGAAATGTAGTTCCATGCTTACCATGATGGGAATGCAATTATATGATTTGATGCAGTGTACTATGCCCATTCTTTAAAGTTCGAAAAATTTTCACTTGTATGTCGCTCTTCTCTGAGCATTACTTCAAGCCTTTTCTCTTACTTTTAACTGAGGCATGGATAAGGTTCCCTTGTAACTTGTATTGGATGATTCTGTTAATATGAATTCAAGCCAAGCACCGATGTTGCTTCAAAAAGAGTTTTCTCGTGGAATCAACTAATTAATCTAAAAGGAAAATTCATCAAGTATTAGCAAGTTTGTTAATTATTTTAAGACGCGGCATATTCCCTCTACCTTGAGAAAAGTTACCTTGTGTTGCAAAGTAGGTCCAATGATTTCTAATTTTGAGTTGATGCGTTAATACAAATCATAAGATAGAAGTGTTTCATCAAAGTCTTTACCCATCTAATTTCTGAAGAATTTGTAATCAATCTTTCACCTAATCTGTAAATAGAGTTGCATCCCCTGAACTGCCAAAAAAAAGGCTAAATAAAAACAATTAATATGAACACCCAAGGGGCATTGAACATCTCAAAAGCTTTCAGGGCTGTCATCTAATTGCTTCTCATCTTCAATATCAACCTCCAAGATTTCCTTGCAGTGAAATAAAACAGATTTCAACAGAAATTTGCATGAACCATAAAAGCTTAAACTAACAATAATGAAACAAAAATTTTGACTTACAGGGATTCTCTGTTTCAAATAATTTCCAACTCTGGCTACAACTGTGGAACGTTTGTGCCAAAATCGACCTTTGAGACTAATCTTCACAAAGGGTCCATCCAATTCAGCTAGTTCAACTTGTCCTAAAAGTCTTTCCAGTTTAAAACTTTTAAAACTCTAATAAAAATGTTTATAGCTGCATAAATAAGAAGAGTCACCTGTTATGCCAACTGAATTGTCGAAAAGCTGAGCAAGCTGAAAAAACAGACACCGATTTTATGCATTCCCAAATTGCAATGGTAGTATAAATTTAAAAAGAATAATAATTCAGATTCTTGCCTCTACTCTGGCATCAGCTAAGACAAGTTCAATATTTTCCTCAGTCAAATCCAATGGTGGAAGTGGAACTCCACCTGATGCTGCTGCTTCCACTGCCCATACTGATTTTAATGGTGCTGATCTCCAGCTATTAACGTGTATATTTCTGGCTGCTGGTCTTTGTTCCCATAAACTCACCTTTGCTGGTGGCCTGGTTCTCGGTCTTAACCTGTTGGAAATTTGGCCACCAGGAGAAGTGACAGCCACTGTTGATGATGATGCTATCATTGTTTTGGATAAATAATAGTGGAGAAGCAGCAGATTCATTGACATGAGTTTGTTTTCTTGTTTCGGTTTTTAGAACCCTTTGTTTCTGTGGTGTTTTTGTTGAACTTCCTTGTCAGAAAATGGATCAGGAATTTGGTATCGTGGCCATTTTTGGGCCGTTCACATCAGAACAATTAACATTACAATTTATAAAGTTTTCCACCATATCTCTCTCCGTTTTGTTTTAATCTTTGATTTCCAAAAAATTTTAAAAAGCGAAGGCAAAAAACAAAATCCTAAGCATATCGCATATCTTTAGAGGTTGGCTTAATTGACGTGTACATTTAAATTTGATAATATTAAAAACGTTAAAAAAAATTTATATTAATTTTTTTAATATTTTAAAATATTATTTTGTTAGTAAATAATAATTTGGGCTGAATTGACCGAATTGGAATTTGAAAAATCATATTCAAGGCTTATAAAATAGGATTAAGTAATTGTTATATGTTCATGTAATAATTAATTAAATTATTATTTTTTTCATAAATATAATCTAAAGAGGCACTTATTAATCTTTTACTATTATTATTATTATTTTTGGAGTTCCACCGCTCATGAATAAAATAATTTTTCTTTATAGAATATAGATATAGGCTCTGATTTTGTAAAAAAGATGAAAAGGAAATAGCATGAAGTTGATTAAATCAGAAGCACAGAACCTACTCTGCAATTGTCTATATTCCAATCTCACTTACTAAGAACCAAGCAATTACAGGATTCCGAAACATTCAAAGCATTCCAAGTCTTTTGGAGAGAAACATAAATGAGAAAAGTATAGCAACATACATGAGAGAAACATATCAATTATGGCCCCAAAATTGGCTGCAGTAGACAAAAACCATCCAAGTTGTTGATGTAATCATTGGAATGGTAATTATAAGGTTTACAATACAATATGATTACTATATGCTTAGCTTGATTCTATGCTAAATTAGTGAGAATCTCTTGTACAAACTTTTACACGGTTGAGAACACAAGAATTTCTTTTCTTGTGAGAGAAGTGAGAAAATATTTCAAACATAACCCCTTTTTCAATTGTTACAGTGGAAGATCTAGGCTCTTTTTCCTCTCATCATTTTCTCTAATGGCAAATTCTATATCAAGAGGTTGCACTGTATCGCAACAATTGCGCCGGAAACTAACCCCTTTCTGTCTCTCTAGGCTCGGTAGTCGGTTTATCTATTAGAAAACTCCAAAAAATGTGGCTGCGGCGAAAACCAGAAAAAGTGCTCCACCCAAATAGCCAACCTGATTGAAGATAAGACAATTGCAACAGAAGTCAAGAAGCAAGGCCTTGAATATCATACTAGCATAGGATAAATTTCCAGTCATACCAGTTTCTCAGAAATATAGTTGCCAAGAAATGCTCCTCCTATAATTGCAATTGATGTTGCGAGTAGGTGTCCTGCAATGGCTCCACTTGCCGCACCTCATGGTAACTGAAGAGGCAAAGCAGCAGCGATCATTAAATTATTTTGAATTACATAGGATAAAAAAGTTTGAAAAAAATAATCATGAGGAATCAAGTTAGCGAAGTTGCACCTTTCCAGCACCAAGTGCAATTGTCACAATCATTGAACGGTCTCCACATTCCCGGGAGCAATTGCAATATTTTGCATTCAGAATTATTAAAAACAACCAAAAGAGCAGACTTTCCTTTGGAGATAAAATGTTACTTTTAAAAAGGATAAAGAGACACTTACAGCAAAAAATACAAGGCTGAATGACTTCTAGACAATTTCAAGTGGATTTGAAAGCCGCTTTGACACCTGAATACATTAAAATAGAATTCTCCGTTATTTTTTTTTTCTTTTCTTTTAATACAAGAGGCATGTGAAGCAGCCCACTTATATCGTTCAACAGAAGAAAGATGATTACAAGTTCCTCAGCTTCTAAAAAGTCATCAAGTTTGGGGCCTCTTTGCCACCTTTCTTTGCCACAGTTGGAGGAAAGTCTCATGCATCTTTTATAGATTTTATGCCAAAGAACACAAGAGCTATTGCTGCATATTCTCCAATTGGCAAGGCTTCAAAATATATCAACGAAAATGGAGTCATCAGAAACTTTAGAATAGGAAATTATTAATAACTGATAGGCCGTAATCCATTATGAAAAATATAAAATTGCAAGAAGAAATGAACTTGATAATATAGTTAGTTTGAGAGTTCATGTATCATGAATATCTCAGACTGGAGGAAATAACATTGGTTACAGCTGTGTTGTGGATTTAAAGCATAGAAAACTGGGAAAAGTATCTAAAACTATATGCGCATGGCTGAAACACATGGTTGAATTAAATTAAATTCAGGGATGTGTTTATATCTGCCAAACGATACAACACAAAATCAACATACATTTTAGTGTCGGTAATACTTAATAGTAGCTAGAGTGCTCATGTTGTTGATCTGAATAAATCATCAAAGAGAAGCAATGTCTCAGATGATGAGACATGGTAGATGCAAGGAATAAGAACTTACTGGTCGGGAATTGAGCTGGAACTGATTGAAAGATCCGTCCAATTACTACCAACAAGATTGTCATAAGAGAAAGAGCACCCATTGACCCCAACAGAACCTTTCCAATGATTTAATAAATGTTAAAAACATATTCGGTCCAAGAAAGTAAAAGATTTATCAGTCCAAGAACCAGAGAATATGAAATAAAATCTGCAATATATACCCAAACTAACAAAAGGAAAAAGCATCTTCAAGGATATTACAATATTATTGTATGTGTTAGTCAATGAAGATACTCATCACAAGTATGTGTCGTGGAACCAACGCCATTGAAATAAATTAGAAATTGAACCATGATAACATTAGGATTGTAATTAAGTTGTTTAAAGGATGAAACATTGGTCATTACAAACCAATGAGTGTTTCACCATTGCAATCCACAATGAGAAGGAAGGCAAGAATTTTATAGCATTTTAACATATGGTAACTGTGCTTTAATTGTTAATATTACCGACATTTCTTTATGTATCAAAGTTTTTAATGTAAGCCGTAAAAATAACAATAGCTTAAAGAAGTGGAAGCTTAACTTCAAGTTTTGTTGCAACAGAAATGACTAGTTCTTGTTTTCCAAAAGAGAAAGGGAAAAATTAAATACCAAATTTATATTCATTTGAAAACTTCAATTAAAACAACAATAATATATAGAAAAAAGAGTGAGAACCTAATGCAAGAGAGAGAGAGAGAGAGAGAGAGAGAGAGAGGGAACATACCAGTCCCTTCTCATATTGCATGGTCAAGGGTGCAGCAATAAAAAATGACTGATCAAGAGATGAAAAATATAACTTAATCTCAGGTAAGGTTTCTAAAGGCACTATCGCGAGCTTAAGAGAGTAATGAAATTTCTTAGATTCAATAGTGTCAGTTCCAGAAGTGTCAGATCGATTCAATCAAACATGCAATTAAATGGAGCAATAGGCCACGAAAAAAGAAAGATAGACAGGGCAGCAAATGTTGATTGATAAAACAACTATAAGCCTTTTTCAAACTTCTTGGTTTCCACAACATGAACTTTCGTTCTTAATCCATCATTAGTAGGATGATCATTCTACTCTATTTTGGATCAGATGTTTAGTTTAAAAAGAATGATAGGAGATTCTTTCGTTTCCTCACAGTGTTTCAAAGAAATGCCTCCAAAATGCAGCACTATTGAGCAGTGATTAATTCTGGTTCAAACGACAAAATATCTTGGATATTTAACTGGTGAGCTCACCTTATAAGGAATTTAATGGATCTAATTCTAATGTAGTGTGGATGCCAAGTCAATGATATATGCATGGACTGCCGAAATTTAAAAATCTTTGTTTTGGTAAATGTGCTATCTTGGTTAATCAGAGTTAACGCCCTTCCTCTTAGTGGAATTATCCAATAGTTTAAGCCTTAGACTAAAACCAAACTGATTGAGACAGATAATATCAGTTAGAAGCTCAGCAAAGGAAGAACTTACCGATAACTCAAACGAAAGGGAAGAACTTATCAGAAGGGGTAGATGAAGAGACATGTGTAGTTGGTATGACACAATTTAAACTAAGATTGATGGCTTAAATCAAGGAAAGAAAAAAGGGATCAAGAACTCATGAAGGTATTTATGATAGTTAGTTACCTTGTCTCCAATTTCAGAAACAAATATTAATGTGAAGGCAGCAGTCAAGCCTGAATTTGCAATTGCTGCTAAGAGTGATGAAGATCCACTTTTTGCAAAGGCAATCAGTGAAAACACAAAAGCACATCCCAATAACACGATGTTAATGGAGACATAATAAGGAATTTGATTAGCAAGCTTCACACTGCAAAAGAATAAAAGATATGTACATCGATAAAGACTGATAGTACGGTGGCATTTCATATGAAAATCAAAAAGCATATGATACATAAGACATCAAACTCGAACCTGACTTCATCTGAATAAACTTTCGAGCATTGTAAAGTAGCTTTCAAGAGTAATTCTTGTAGAAAAGAAGCCTAAGCTTATCTAATTTTGTGGAAAAACTAAAAAATAAAACTATGTGAAAACTAAGAGTAAACTGAATGTATATTGAAAAACTGCATATAAAGAATTATACAAGCACCTTATGTTTATATACAATTAGTTAGTGGGTAAACAAGAAAACAAAATCTTCTTAAAAACTGATCCATAATTGAGAGATTGTCTATCCTAATTTTTTGTCCTTAATTCTAGAGATACAAATATAAATATACAGATTACAAGATTACAACCAGCTATAATAAGTGTTTTCCCACACTCTCTTTTAAGCTGGTGAACAGGTGTTTTCCATTCCCAGCTTAGAAATAATTTCTTGAAATGTTGCACTGCTGAGACCTTTAGTCAACACATTTGTAAGTTGACCCTTGGTTGATACATACGGTGTACAAATCAACCCACTGTCTAGTTTTTCCTTTATGAAATGTTGGTCTACTTCAATGTGTTTTGTTTTATTATATTGCACAAAATTGTGTACAATGCTTATTGCAGACTTTTTATCATAGTAGAGTCTCATTGGTCCATCTCACTTGATCTTCAAGTCTTCTAAGATAATCTTTAACCATAGTAGTTCACTAATTCCTTGAGCCATTG